CCTTTGACGCTTTTTCTCTGGAGCTCTCAGAAGTTTTGCCCTTAATTACATTACTGATTGCGTTGTTTACTATCGACAAGCTGATATTTAACGCAACGAAAATTCTCGTTGGTACAACTAAGAAGTTGGGAACAGTCGTGTCACTCCCAGATATAGTAGCTATTATTTTCCTTAAATCGTGTATGATGACCTAACAATTTATTTCGATATTACTAAGCCAAACACTGCAAAACTGGAAACTTATAATTGAGAACAAAATAAATGCAGCAGTTTAATTTTAAATGATCCAAATAGTTTTATGTTGGTAATAAAAATTACTAGGGATGATGATGATGTCCCTTTAAACTTATAGCCAAAACACTATTACCACTATTTATGATTACTAAATGATTTACTTCTGCGCGTTAGACTTGTTTGACGGTTTTTGTGTAAAAATCAAATATTCAAATATTCAGTGACACACACAAAAGTAATTTTCAGAAATAGTTACCCTCTCCCGCGCTTATGTTGGCAGTAGCGGCTGTTTTTACTGTTATCGATAGAGAAACGAGCACACCGTCAGCCATTCCCGGATGGGAAATCGTAGTGCATTAACAAAATTGCTGGCGAGGTGTTTACATCGGGGCAATAATATCCTGAGTAAAAAGTTAGTCAGCAAAACATAAAATACCATCGTATTATCAACTAACCTATGGTGGCAAAAATATCATTTTATTGTGCAGGAAAACGTAAATAAAGATATTGAGGCAAAATTTAATTTATGTTCGTGGTAGATATCATACAGTAGATCCAAAATAGTATATTATGCAACAAGTGCGGTAAACGGCATTTAACTCACGAGTTTATTTGACACGAGCGGAGCGAGTGTTTAATAAACGAAACTGGTGGAAAAGGGACACTTCCCGCACGCTAGATCGATGGGTAATTAGGTATTTTACAGACGGGAGTAGAAAAATATTATTTAAAAAGTCCTGTAGGACCTACGAAACAACAACACAGTTCTACTTTTCATATGGGTCCTCTCATTTGTATGTAAATTTTCAGTGGTCACTAACCAAAACTTTTGTCCTTTTTCATCGCTGGGTGAAGCATAATAGGCATATCGAACTTACTGTCAAGAGCCATAGGAACTTTTTGAACTCTCTCCACACACCTTAGCTCTAAAACCAACATGTGGCAAATAAGCAAATAATAAACAGCGTCTCGGTTTTCGACTTTAGAATATACTTTACACTAACGAAAGCTAACCGAGAGCTATTCATCTAACAGCATTAAGAATGCATGTCACGTCACATAAAGAATAAAATGGTAAACAGACAACTTTAGCAACTTTTATTCCGCCGGTCTGGAACGAATTTTCGAAAGGCTTTTTGGTAATCCTGAAAGATTATATTGGAGAGAGCTTTCAGATCGCATAATCCTTGTTTGTAAAGAGAACTTTGCGCCCCGTTTGAGAAAGTTAACCGCAGATGACTTTGACAGACCCAAACATTTAACCAGAATAAAAGAGACAGATTATCGCGTTTTTTTCGCTTCTACCGTGATCTCGACAATATTCGTTCCTTGCGGACAAGCCCGGTTTAGTCAACAATGCCCGTGAGAAGAAAAAAAGCTCGAGATCCTCAAAAAATATTCCAATTTATTACTCTTATATCTTTCTAATTATTTCAAGGATTAGGTATAAATTATACAACCTGCTGGGGAAATTATTATAGAATTTGTTTCTCATAATTTATTGTCTGAACGAATCTCAACAAATTTGTAACTTTTGATTTTAATGTAACAATAAGTTAGGGAATGGTGAAACTAAGAGAAAATGACCCTTATTTGATCGTCCGTCAAAAAATTGTGGGGTTCCATTTAAATTTTTTTAAACTTAGTTGAATTTGTTTTAATTTTCAATTTTTTTTTTTATTACAAAGCAAAATAAGGACAAATCTATTTCCAGATGGCACAAAGTTAATCAATAATTTAAGGTTAAACTTTAAAGTTTAAATAAAAATTTAAAAAAAACCTCAAACGTTAGATATACATTTTCTAATTCATTGTTTGAAAAATATTTTGAAGAAGGGGACAGCATAAAAAAGTATAGGTAGGGTAGGTCTTCAATCCATATCGAGGATATGTGGACGAATTAAAATTGAGCATTAGGTACCGTAGAATTCTAGTGTTGTAGATTTAATTAAAAAAATATGTTAAAGATATTTGGAAAAACTCGGTTAATTAAGTTATTACTGTAAAAAATTCATATAACATATGTTGCTAAATCCATTACAATTAATTATTGTAAATATAGCGACAGAGCGATTGATAAAGAATGAACAATGTCTAAATAGGAATTACCAAATACCAACATGTTATGATTTAGCTTATTAATGAAATAAAATAATAAAATCTTGTAAAACTTCTGCATTTAATTAAATTAATTATCACACTTTTATGTTCCTTCTCGCCTTATTATTAACATTGCTATTACATTTACATTATTGCCAAGCTTTCCTCTGCACAGTGGGACCGACACAGGTAGTTTTAATATATTCAATAAGTCAAAGCCAATTAAAATACTATTCCAAACCATCACGAAGTCGTGTTGTTAAAAATTTTACACTATATAATTATGGTGAAAGTTTTAAGTTATCAAAGAAATACGCTATGGTGGTTACTTGACCACTTCTTAATAGACCAGTCAAATTCGATCAAAATGTTTTAAATAAAATCTTGCATTTGTTTTCAATCATTATGCAATAATAAAATGCATTTTATAATATATTATTATGCGTTTGTGATGTTCAACTTACCAATAATTCTCTTCATGGAATTCGCAAATACAATACTTGGCGACTCGGGGAAAAACCCAATATAAATAAATAAATGTAAATTTCATTGTATTTTTAAAATTATTTTTGTCAATTAACACAAAAAAAAACGACCGGACAATTGCAAAACTCTAATTTTACCTAAAAGAAATTGAAATTAAAGGTTTCATAGTTCGATTTCAGAGCTTTATAAATTATACTGGACTGGAATCCTGCATCCGACTGGAATCCTGCAGACGTTTCGCCAAAATCTCACTTGGCATCTTCAATGCTCGCGCTCCGAGTGTTCGAAGTGTTTTCGGAGCGCGAGCATTGAAGATGCCAAGTGAGATTTTGGCGAAACGTCTGCAGGATTCCAGTCGGATGCAGGATTTGCAGGATTCCAGTCGGAGTTCAACGAGCGAACGGATGATAATCCAGAATATAGTGTCAACATATATATATATATATATATATATATATATATATATATATATATATATATATATATATATATATATATATAATGAGACTTCCCCGAATATTTTGAAAAATGCGATCAACCATGTTATTACCGTAAAAACAAATTTATATAATACTTTCAATCAAATAGTTAAACCCATTATAATTCATTTATGAGAAGCTAGCAGCAGCGAAACGAAACTGCATATAAAATAATATGAATCTGAATATTGCAATCAAACTTTTATGCGCATTTTATTCTTTTTTTTTGTAGTCCAACACTGGAGAACACCTTTTAACATTGCTCATATACAGCATGACTGTTAAAAACTTGCTTTCCATCAATAAAACCAATACAATTTTAAAATTTATACTTTGACAAAAATGTATATGTCACATTTTGTTTCAGGCTAACGAAGAAGAAGAGAGAACACATATAACTAACAATTGAAAAAAATATCCAATATATATATATATATATATATATATATATATATATATATATATATATATATATATATATATATATATATATATATATATATATATATATATATATATATATATATATATATATATATATATATATATATATATATATATATATATATATATATATATATATATATATATATATATAGAAATATATTAGTTTGTTTTGTCAGTTTTGGATATATTAAAAACGATTGAACTGTTTTGAAATTTTAAGACTTACAGACTTTTATAGCATAATGTCGTATGTTGACTGTTGCTCAATACATATGTTCACAAAAAAAAACAAATTTCGAAACTCTATCAAAAATTTACCAAAAATAATAATAATAATATGCTTTGAATGATAAAACAACTTAAATGTGTCTGTTTTAGCTAGAAAAGTTGAAGTAATTGTACAAAAATTATGCACCTTAAATTATATGTTATTTGGCCTTGGAGATCGCGGCATTCATAAATTCATTTAGAATAGTATGAATCTGTGTATATTATAACATATAGGTATGTAGATAGATATCAAGCAGGGCATAAATGCTATTCTGAAACTTGTTTTCTAAAATTTTTCAAATATTTTTTATGCCAGTTTTATTCTTTTCTTACCGAAGACGGTCTTTTTACATTTACAGCAATGTTAATTGCCGAGGTCTCCGTTACACACTGGGTCTGCACAGATATTATTTTAGTGCTTTCAATAAGCCAAACACTTATCCGTTAAAGCACTATAACACTGTTAAAAAACTTTTCGAAATCACTTAACGAAATCCATAACTGTCTCAATGAAATTGACATTTTCCCGATGTTTAGTCCCTTGTTTTTTAATCAAATTTTATATTAAACACGTCTGAGTTGGTATTAGGGTTTAAAAATGTCAATTTCTAGTAAAGAATATTTAAAAATGAGAGATTTAATGACTTAGAGATAAAAATTATTATAATATAATGTCTTATAGTGACTTTTTGGTCACAATAAAAAAATTCAAAATATTTTAAAAATTATTAAATCTTCAAAATAACTTAAAAAGTCTTGAAGAAATTGCCAATTTTGCAATGCTCTGTCATTTTTTAGTGAAACTTTACATTTCAAAAACAGCTGAAGTGTTGCGATCAAATGTCAATTTTTGTTATAAAGTTGTTCTAAAATGTCGTAAACTTTTAAAAGGAGGTTTTTTTATATTTTTTTCCTTGTTGTGGAATTTTTAAGTCTCCGTTTTTGGGGACAAGAAATACCCAGTCATACACAAATTTCACTTACCGCGTCAACGCTTTATTTTTGTATCAGCGTACTCGTCTTGTAAAAGATGCAAAATCAAAAAATGTCCATCGCGGGTTACCAAAACTCGATCGAACTTATTCGGCCCGAACAAAACGAACAACGCGTAAACTTTTAAAGTTATCGCGTTTGTTTGCTCGCGCTTCCTATAGTTCCTTGCGCGTCCGTTCGGCTCTTCGATATCGCGCAAAATGCACACTAAAACTTCGTCTGAAACTCTCGAATTTCGGAACGAATTTTCAGCGCAACCGCCTCGTGACGTACTATACGTCTACTCTCCGATAAGCGCAAACTTACGAGAAACGTTCGCGGTTCTGTGTTCGATTGAAACTTAACTGAGCGGAACGATCTTCAACCATTACAACGTAGATTAAATGCCCGCCGAACAGATGTACTTGAACTTAAATTTACTTTACACCTTCGGGAACAAATTGGCAGCTACTTGTCTCGAATTTGTTCGGGCGGCGAGATAATAATAGAGCCGCTGTTTTATTCCGCTACATGAATCTCGTTCGCCAAGGAAAAACAAATCTTTTTGGTAATTTAAAGGCGGGATGAACTATGAAAGTGATATTTATCAACATACGGGGTGTGATATTGAAAATGAAAGAAAGCAATCCTCACACGATCTTTATCTTGAGCAAGCTTGAATTTTATGGAGTGTGTGGTGTTCCACTGAAACTTTTTAAGTCCTACTTAACAGATAGACGACATTTTGTGAGCGTAAAGAACAATAAGTCTGATTTGGCTTGCGTTGAGTTTGGAGTACTCCAGGGCTCCGTTCTGAGACCCCTCCTTTTTATTATATACATAAATGATATTTGCCATTAAATGATGCCTGATACTAAGATTCTGCTGTTTGCTGACGACACAACGTTTATTAATTCAAACAGGAAAATCACTACCCTGAGTAATATTGAAACATATACTTTATCTAAGGCCAAAGCATGGTTTTCAGCAAATAATCTACAACATAATGAAGCTAAAACGAAGAATTTATTAGTGTCTAGTAGCAGTAGGTTGACATGTGGCAGGGGATGCAAGATTCTGAGCGTTACCTTGGATGGCACTCTGAATTGGTCAGAACACATTGGTGACCTAAGTAAAAATCTTTCAAATATACAGTTTCTTTTGCGTCAACTTCAACAGAATGGTGAGTTTTGATGTATTGAAGTCAACTTACTTTGGTTTATTTCACTCGCGTATAAACTATGCCACCATACTGTGGGGTAACTGCTCTTATGCCATTAAAATATTTAGGATGCAAAAAAAGGAACTACGGATAATTACAAATTCAAATTTCAATAAACACTGTAAGCCATTGTTTATTAAACATAAAATAATGACGGTTCCATGTATATTTATATTTCAAAGTGTTCTTGAGATACACTCCAAGTCCGATAGTTTTGCCGAGGGGTTCTGGTTCTCATGGGTATGACACTCGGAGTGCAAATAATCTCGTGCTTCCGAGATACAGGTTGCAGAAATCAAAACAAAACTCTCCTTATATAAAGCTTTATAGAACATTGCCAAAATCTTTTAAACTTTTAAACGAAAAACATTTTAAATATAAAACTAAAAGTTTTCTTCTAAGTAAGGGCTATTATAGCGTTGGTAATTTTTTTGAAGAAAACATCGGTAATGACGTATTGCGGGGCGTTGTGCATTGATTGCATTTTAATGATTGTTCTGTACTATATGCCTATAAATTTATTTTTTTATTTGTGGCCCTGTTATTGTGAAGTTATATACATTGTACATCTAGATTTAGTATATTATGACGTTATATACAATTTTACGTTAGCATATAATTACAAATATTCAATTTATTTTTTTTTCCTTTGTATGACTTGCTACAAACAATGATATTGTAAAGTAGTCAATAAACCATCTATCTATCTAAATCTTCTATCTATCTATCTATCTTTCATTTATGCCGAACTAAATTTGCTTGACCCAATAGCCAAGTTTATTTACTTTTCTGTTCGGGCGTCTCCTAACTCGTTTGGGATTTTTTGCGTGCAAATTCCTTATTTTTGTTTAGTTATTTAGTTGTTTAGCATACGCATACCTAGCGATTTTGCGCTTTTGCTCATTTAAATGTAAGATCGCTTTGTTCTAACTTTGATCTTTTTCCCAATTTATTTTGGATTCTGGGCATGATTTTGTGGGTCTTTCGGTGACTTGGATTTCAACTCTTGTACCTAATGGTGGTCTAAACATTGTTGTTGTACCATAGTTAGGAGTTAGCAACAAACACATGATGGAGGCGTGGCTTTTTACTACCCTAGTCATTTTTAGGTTAGAACTACAGTAATATCGGAATACGTAAATAATGATAGTTCAGAACAAATATGGTTGTCTATTAAGATCGACGGGAAACCGATAGACTTCCAACTTTTAACTTACGTGAATGTCTTGACTCTCTGGAAAACGTCTTTACCGCACTTATTCCTTCCTCAATTTGACTTTTTTGTGTTTGGCGGACATTTCAATATTGATCTGTTAAAAACTAAAACTCCCGCTTATTTTCTAACTAGCCCGTTTCTTGATGTACTGGTCACCTCGAATTTATCCATATGAGATAATATTGAAATTCATATGAGTGACATCTCAGATCACTGTATTGCTTCTTGTAATCTCAAGCTGCAGAAAGACCGCCCTCCAACGCTTTTTCGGTATTTTTGGCAAGCTTTAAACATTAATCACCAACAAATGCAAAGCGTAGCAAGCTTTAAATATTACATTATTTTCGCTCCTAGCAAATTCCAACACTGGGCAAAACCAAAATTTTACAGGATGTTCGGTATATTTTGTTCTATATTAAAAAATGTGGTAGGTGTCCCAAATTTGAACCTATCGATTTCAGATTTGGCGGGCAAGTAAGAGTCCATACCGGCACTCAAACCTCAGAAGTGGGACGCAATCAAACGTCGCAAAGTATTTCTTAAAAAATGTTGAAAAAATTTTTTGGTTTATTATGACTTCCACAAAAATATTACTTTCTCCAAAACGATTAATCCGATCGTATAAATTCTTGGATAGGGAAACGCGGCAGATCTGGGACTAAATCTTAAATCAATAGTCTTAGACAAATCAACCACGAACTTTTATACTATTTTGATTATATAAACGTACAACTTGACTTTCTTGCATATGAATAATATATAAAATGAATTATTTATTTGATATTCAAGTTCCATTAAAAACAGCTACAATTAAGAGACGTCCGGCCCCTCAGCTTACCGAAAACCTTAAACTTTTAATAAAATGTAAAAATAGGTTACGTTTAAGATACAAACGTCTCAAGTCAGATGTTGCTTTAAACGAGTATAGAGAATTACGAAATTTTGTGAACTCCTGTATGAGAGCCGAGATGGGTGAGGATACTTCAAGTCGACAGTAATACTAATGTTTGAAAATAATAAAGGCCAACCTAATAGTTTTAATGTTGCTTCTTATTTTGGTTCTTTTGGTTAGTGGTATGTCTCTGTAAATTGTACTAATAAGCAATTTGATCCTAATTTATTTCGTTTTGCTACAGTTTACCCCGATGAATTTAAAACTTTAGTTAGTATTAAAACTAACGGTCATGGCTCGGACAATATAAAATTTATTCTTTGGACTACTGCGTATTTAGTCGATGATATCACTTTCCATGTTAACAAATGTCTGATCTCTGAGGTTTTTCCGGACTCTTGGAAACAATCTGAAGTGATATCCGTTCCAAAGAAAATCAGTTTGTTGCCAACCATCTCAAAGGTTGTTGAAACGTTACAGTTAAACAACTTCGTCAGTTCCTATGCGGTAACAAAGTCCTCTCAGATACTCAATTCGGTTTTTGACCTCTTCACCGCACCACTTCTGCCTTGCTTCATATTACTGATGATTTATTGAGAGCAGCTGATTCTAAATTAAGGTCTCGTCTCGACTATAGCAAATCTATCGACACCTTGCTTACTTAGCTGAACTAAAGGTACTGCTCTTTCATTTTTTAAAAAATTTATTTGTCAGAGATATGCTCACTTCTCTCTTCTCTCTCTTTTTTTAAATTTTGTAAATCCCATCAATACGCCGATGATGGTCAGTTATCGCAGCATCTTTTGTTGCTAGTGACGCTTTAAATACTGCTGCTAACATAAATTTGGATCTAAAAATAATTTCCGAGGTTCCTTCGGCTCATAACCTCTTACTGAATACTAGCAAAATGCAGATGTCATTATTTGGAAATAAAAGGGAAGAAATTGTAAGAAACGATTTTTTTAAGATTATGCAAAATGATCAGATTATCTCTCCTTCTTCGGGCGGGTGAATAAATTTCGGATTATGGTTTGGTTATACTAAATCGAGATAAGGAGAGACTCCAGCGACTTCAGAATGTTTTTATTCGTTTTAGTTATAATCTGCGAATGTATGACCATATTTCCCAGTGCCTCTCTGATTCGGGTTGGCTCAAGCTGGCGGACAGTTATAAAGTTCAGCTAGCCTTTGATTTTTTACTAACCTCCAATAAGACCCTGTCGTATTTGTTTGATAAACTTTGCAGAGGAAATAATATTCATAATCGAGACACCAACCACCGTTTAGCTCTAACGCAGTTAAAATTTAAAAAAAAAGTACTTCAAAAAGCGGTAATATTGTTCATTCGCATACATATTAGTAATTTGGTATAATGAGATTATGACAACCTGGTTCAGTGACTTATCAATCAAAACGCGTCAAATATATGGGAGAAAACAAATATGAATTACATAGAATTATTTTTTAAAAACTCCCAATGCTACAACATCAAAAACGACGAAAACAGATAACGCAAGGAGCAAAGAAGGGCAACGAGATCTAGTCATCATCATTTCTATCGTATTAAATTGGCAATAATAAGGCAGAAGCTGCAAAACCCCATGTCCATTTTCCAATGATAAATTGTACATTCTTTAAAGATCATATCTTGAAATAATTTCATATTTGAAGAAAAATACTAGGGAACTATCTATGCAGTTTATCTGGTAAGTGTTGCTTCACTAACATCCCTAGCCGGTATTTTATTAAACTTGGCGGAAGTGGAATATTCTTTTTTGCAGCCACTCGACGAGAGACTGCTTGATCCCACTTTGATTAGCTCAGCAAGGCCACAGTGATACAATGTTGATTATTATTAATGAAGGTTCACTAAGATGGGTATCAGCTGTTGACTGTAAAGTAC